CTGTTCTCCCCCTTCTTGACTGGTCAGGTTATTATAAGCATGAGCTACCACACCCAGTTTTATGTGATACTGGGCAACGAACCCAGGGTTTGACACAGGCAAGGCAAGCATTTTATCATCTGAGCTACATCCCTAGCCACTTGTTTTGTTTTCCAATGATTTGCCTAAGGTTTGTAACATGTCAGCTTTGATTTACATAGTCCACTTCCAAGCACTATATGTTTACCATTAATAAAACAAGCTTAAACAATAAGCTTTCATTATCTCTCCCGACCTTCTTCCTAGTACTGTCTTACACTTTAAACATCTGTCATAAACTTCGTGTACTTTGTTTTTCTTTAAGCAATTATATTTTGAAAAGAAAAAAATTTACTTATAATAAGCTTACCCATTTGAAGTTGAGTTTGAAAAGTTTTAGTAAATAGACATCCACTTGGTGGTTATTATGACTTATTCTGCTATGAGTCTATGAATATCCTGCATAAGTCTTCAGGTTGATATGTTTTCCTAGTTTTTGTTTTGGTTAGGCATTTCATGATAAGAATAAGTTCAAACTTGACAAACTGTATGTGAAACTGCCAAACTTTATCTAAAACCATTTAGATTAGTGACGAATGGAGGCTCCAGTTTCTCCACTTCTCACCTGAGCTTGGTTAATTCAATCTTTGATGTTAGTCTTTCTGGTGACTGTGTAGTAGAATCTCATTATGATTTTAATTTTTAATTAATTATTTATTATTTATGTGTATGAGTATTTTGCCTGCATGAATGTCATAGTGTACCATGTGTGTGAAATGCCTGTGGAGGCTAGAAGAAGGTGTCAGATCCCCTGGAACCAGAGTTACAGGTGGTTGTTAGCTACCATGTGAGTGCTGGAAACCAAACCTGGGTCTTTTGGAAGAACAGCCAGTGCTCTTAACCACTGAGCCATCTCTCCAGCCCCTCACTGTGATTTTAATTTGTAGCTTTCTAATCTGATGAATGCCTTTGAGTGTCTTTCTTTGTGTTCAGTTATTATTTGTGTCACTTAATGGATTTTTAAAATTATTTTCATTTTATGTGTATGAGTGTATTGCCTGCATGTATGTAAGTGTACCCATGTCATGAAATGCCCATGAAGGTCAGAAGAGGGCATTGGATCCCCTAGAACTGGAGTCACAGAGAGCTGTTAGCCACCATGTGGGTGCTGGGAACCGAACCTCGGTCCTCTGCAAGAGCAACTAGTGCTCTTAACCACTGCTGAGCCTCTCCAGCCCCACCCTCTTCATGGCTTTTTTAAATGAAATATCTCTCAGTCTTCCATTTGGCTGTTAGTCCTTTAATTATAGAGGTATCAGAGAAAATGTTTTCCTTTTAAAAATAATTCTGGACACAAAACTTTTGCTGCATTTTAGCTGCTGTTAATCCTTTCAGGATAGCTTCATTTTATATATCAGAGTATTTACCTCTTCAAGTTTCACTTGGTTGTTGGTTTTTAATGATATGAAAGCACAGTGTACCAGGTGCAGTGGCATACAACCATAGTCCAACTACTCAGGATGCTGAGGCAGGAAGATCATTTGGCATAGGAGCTTGTGGACACCCTGGGTAATAGTGTGAGATTTCAGTTCAAAAACCAACCAATCAACCCATACATGTGGCATGAAATTTTAGATGCATAGTGTAGTGTTGTTAACCATATGTACATTGTTATACAGTGGCTCTCTAGAACTTTCCAATCTTGCATGCTTGAAACACTATGTCCATCAGACAGCAACTCCTGTTCTCCCTAGCTTTGGCAACCACCATTTTGCTCTCTGCTTTGGTGAGTTTTGTAAATGGGATCATGAGGTGTCAGTCCCTCCCTGCCTGCACTTAGAAACATGTCTTCAGGCTTCATTTATGTTGTATCATTTGGTTCTTTGCTGGTATTTTTTTTTTCTTTCTCTTACCTCCTCACTAAGTGAAGTCTATACATATCTCTGCTTTAACATTCTTGTCTATAAAGTTTATGTTCTTTGCCACTTCTGAGTCTGTGCCTGTTTTCTTTTCCTTTCTATCATTCATATCTTCATGGTGTTGTACTACTGGGAATTTTGATTGCACGCCAGTCACTGTGAAAGTTACATTATTGAGTGATCTTGTTAGAATATGTGGCTTGGGCGGGGGATGGAGTTGGGGGGCTGGAGAGACAAATCAGCGGTTAAGAGCACTGGTTGCCCTTGAAGTGGACCTGGGTGTGATTCCCAGTACCCACATAGCAGCTAACAACCATTTGTAACTCCAGTTCCAGAGGAATCTGACACCCTCTTCTGACCACCACAGGCATTGCACGACACGGGTGCACTTATATACATGCAGGCAATACAGTAATACACATAAAATAAAAATGATAAATATAATTTAAAAAGAGTATGGGTCTTGGTTCTATGTCACTGCTAAGTTACATGGAAGTAGTCGGATGCTTTCTAGCCTTCTTTTAAAGTTCTTTGAGAGTTCATGGTATTCTTAGCTCACTAAAGGTCAATATTTCTCTGAGTTTCTACCCTGTGCCTTATGTATCATGAGATCCTTTCACTGAGGGTCAGGACACACTAACTCTGGTCGTGCTGATACTGGGAGTTTTCAGTCTGCTGATGTTTGGTATTTCCTTGCCCATCCTTACATAGTTTGCTCACATAAACACTCAGCCATGGCTCATGGGCTGCCGTCTATAGGTATCTGAACTTCTGTTACCCAGCCCCAACTTCTCAGGTACTAGGCACACTGGCCTCACAGCTCTGAAGAGAATTCTAACTTCTCCCTATTCTGCATCTTGGAAATGATCTCTTACCAGTAAGCTGGCAGAATGGTAGAGCTTACTGCATTTGTTTGTCATGGCAAGGAACAAAGTTATGAACTTCAATTTTCCAGTTTTGAAAACCATTTTCTTCATATAGTTTGTCCACCTTTTTCTTTATTTGTTCACAATGGAAAAGTAAAGCCAATTGCTGTGGCTCCATCACAACTAGAAAGAGAACTCTCCATTGGAGGTTTTGGCTGAGAAGAGTAATGTGATCTGACATATATTTTAACATGACAAGACTGCTGGGTTAAAAGTTGACTGGAGAAGGTAGGGAATGATGGAAGCAAGGGGTAGGAGTCAATTGCTGCAATCCAGGGCAAAATCACTTGTGGTAAAAATGATAGACATGAAAGGAAATGGCTGGATTCTGGACTTAGAGAAAAAATAAACAGGATTTACTATGTTGGAACTGCAGGGTGAGGGACCAGGGCAGTTTCACCAGAGGAAGGAGATGAAGGCTGTTGCAGGAAGAGAGAAGACAATGTGGAGAGTCCTTAGATGGAACCACATCGGTGCTTTCAGGAAATGTTAACTGAGTCTCCACAGCTCAGTGGAAGCGGGTAGGAGAACAGGCGCTGAAGCAAAGCTGAGATAAAGACAGGAACAATAGCTGTAAGGACCCTTCTGTACATGTACATTCTCCAGGCTTTGTCCTCTGAAGAAAGGCCCTGGAATGAGACTGTGCAGGAAAGCCAGTAAAAGGGCCCAGAGGATGCAGCGGAGGTCTGAGTAAAGGTAGAGAGCATTGGGTGAGGGGGAGCTTACAAAGTTCTAATCAAGGAATCGAAAGGTCTTGGTGAAGTTATGCATGGCGTATGTTCAGAGGAACAAAACAGAATGCTTTAAAGTGAATTTAGTCATTCGCCTGGCCCTCTCGGTAGATTACAGTGCCATTAACTCTACTTCAAAAATAGAAACTTGTACAGTAAAATGTCTTACAGAAATGTGTATTCCTTCAGTGAGGTGATGGCTGCCAGGGTTGAGTCTGAGCTTTAATCTCCAATTGCAGGAGTCTTCATCAACCCCACTCCATATCCTCAGCCACATTAACTCTAAAAACTGTAGAAAATATCATGCTGCCTCATCTGGATAACTTTAATAGAAATCCCCTAACTGGATTGTCTTTTGTCAGACTCCTGCATATAAATATCCCTGGAATTATAGTGAACTTGGGTCATGTGAAAATGTAGGCTTATCTTCACACACAAAGGGAAGGTGAATAGTCACTCATTCAAGTACTTTACATGTACTAGAGTTAATGTAACAGTCCATGATAAATAGCTCCCTGGACAGATCTCTATCACTTTCTAGGACCTGGTTATCAAGCCCTTCTTTGTGTTCTTCCATGGATCCAGGTCTGTCCGAGGACAGTGACCCATCCCACAACCACACCTGGTTATCTCACAGCTGGATTCCTCTTGTTCTTTGAGTCTCCTTCCCTAACTATTAAAAAAAAAAAAAAAAAAGCCCTTTGCTGGCCTCTGTTTATTTTTATATCATCCCTCTGCTATAATTTGGATCTGAAGTGTCCTCCAAAGGCCCATGTGTTCAAAGCTTGGTTTCTGAATTGGTGCTATTGTGAGATGCTGAAACTATGAAGGTTTCCCAGCAGGGAGTTTTAGGCTGGGCCACTGAAGGCACGGCCTTAAGAGGGACCATGAAACTCAGTTTCTTTCTGTCTGTCTTTGCTTCCTGGCCACTGGGAAGGGAACAGTTTTGGTCATGGTGCACTGCCATAGGCTTATAGTGATGGGGCCAACTGAACACAAACTAGAACCTCCAAAACCAGAAGCCAAAATGAACCTTTACTTTTTACTAGGCATGTGTTATAGAGACGGAAAGCCAACTAAACAGACACCTCTCAAATATTTTATTATTTGCAATTAAATTTAATTTCTTGTTTAATTCTTTTATATCTGTTGCCAAAATAAGATTTTATGAAAATAGCAGTCACATTTTGTCTTCTTCATAACACAATATTACTAGCACCTAGACAGTATTCAGTAAATATATGTTGAGTGACTGAATAAGAAGTAAGTCAAGGCAAGCTGAGGAGATAGCTTAGTTGGTAAAGTGCCTGCCACACAAGCCCAGGGACACATGTTTGGATCCCCAGAACCCATGTAAAAAGTTGGAGGCATGTGCCTGTAACCCCAGACTTGAGGGCAGGGGCAGAGACAAGAGGATTCCTAAAGCTCACTGGCCAGTCACGGTAGCCAAACTGACCAGCTTCAGGTTTGGTGACAGACCCTGTCTCAAAAAATAAAAATGGAGAATGGAAAATCCCTGATATGGACCTTGGGCCTTCACATGCATGCCCACTGGCAACCATGTGCACATATCACACACATACAGACATACCCCCCCTCACATGCCCCACGCACAAAATAAGCCAAGGAAAGACAATGAAAGTTCCTATTTAAAGCATTTCAATAATTAACCAGTGGGAGGAGAAATTATTTGGGGTAAGGAAATTTTCTGTTGTTTCTGAAATCATACCATATAAGTAAATTAACCACGTTCCTTAAAATTGGTCCTGCATGATTTGGGGAAAGTAACTGCCAAAACTTCATTGGTGTATTGGCCTGGATTAATTGGTACTGATGAGTATAACATTGAAACCCCAATTGCAATGGAAGGTTTAGTATTTTTCACTGCTACCCTCTACAAAGTGGAGATTCCAGAACATTCCTTCCTGTATCTCCACCATCTTGGCAGGATAGCTTGGGACCATTCCCTGGATTCTTTATGTCCAGCAATCAGGCAAAAGGCTTGGATTTTTACACAAACAAGTTGCAAGTGGTATGTATTACTTCTGCCTGTATTCCATTGGTCAGAATGAGGCATATGCCCCCAGTCTAACTTCAGCGGAGCCTGGGAAGTATCAACTTCCTGTGTGCCTGGAAAAAATAATAATAATTGGCCCATAAGCATCAAGTAAGCCTCAGCCACAACAAAGGATTTCTTTTGGCTATTGTGACAATTAGTGTGTTCATGTATACAAAGCACTCAGCACACTGAAGGCATCCATGTTTCCAAGTCGCAGGCGCAGCTTCTCTGAGCTTACTGTAATTTCTGTTGGTTGAACAAGGCTGCTGTTTCAGGCTTCTGTCAAGCCCAGCAGCTGGCTGGAGAGTACTGTGGGCCCTAGTGGCCAAGGCCAGCAAAGGATGCAGATGTCACCTCACTCTGTGTGGCACATCCTTATGCTTTGTTCAATTTGGTTCCCTGGGTGGGACAAGTTTTATGAGCAGGTGTTCTGGCTAATTAGGTGATTAATACTCTTCAATTTGGAAAGCCATTTCCCCGGTGACAGATCTTTCTTTGCTCTGATTTGAGACGAAGCTTCATCATATAGTTTGGAGAGGTCCGTGATGACATTTATCACCCTTCCACACCTGTAGCCCTGAGGACCAAGGGTCTGACCCCATACCTGGCTGACTTGCCTCTTGATGCCCTAGTCTAGGGAGGTAGGACAAGACTGGGACAAAGACACATTTCTGGTTTCTTCTGGAAAGTCTCAGAGTCACGGCCATTTTCTTTACACAAAGACATTGACCATTACTAAAGCAGAGTGGCCATGACATACCCCAGGGCAAAGCAGACATCAACACTCTTCCCAGACTGAGCTTCTTTTTATTTCTTAAAATTATTTTTATTTCATGTGTATGAGTGTATTGCCTGCATGTGTACAAGTGTACCAGTGTCGTGCAACGCCCTCAGAGGTTAGAAGAAGGCATCAGATCCCCTGGAACTGGAGTCCTCTGCAAGAGCAGTCAGTGTTCTTAACTGCTGAGCTATCTCTCCAGCACCCCCAGACTGACTTCCAAGCCAACAGAAAAGCATCTCTAACTTTCTTCTGCTCCATTTTCCCAAAGTCCTCTCCTGACCCCTTCCACTGCTCTATTTTTATATCCTTTACGGTTGTGTCCCTCAACCTAAGACCTTCTCTCACCCAATCCATATGCCCTGTCCTTGAAAAGTCAGACTATTTCCTCTGTCCTTTTGATCCAGCTTCAAGTAGTTTCTCCTCAGAAATTTGTGCAGCACTTCCTTATCTGAACTATTGCAGTGTTTGAGAACATTCCATAGCTTTCCTTTTGCAGATTGCTTTTTTCTTTCAACTGGAGTTTGGATATCTGTGTCTGTCTCTTTCGGAAAAATATGAAGTTCGCAATAAATATTTGCTTTGTTGATAAACTGGCCATACTCAGACCAGGCAAGTGGGTAAATTCATTTGTTACATCACCTTGGGATATGCAGCTGATAGCAAGGCCAATCTTTCCTCTCCCTCAAATGTCCCAGTTTTATAATCATAGATAACTAGATCTCTTTCTCCAGTTCCAGTTGGAAAATCCCAAGGAAGGAGTATGATTGGATTGTGTCAGTCACAAAAACGAGGGAGGTAAGCTCATATGAGAAGAAAATTCCAAAGCACAGCCACATGGCTGAATGGAAGGTCAACTGATACTTGTCCACTACAGTTAAATCTTGGGACTGAAAACATTTAGTGCTCTTTCTTCTTTTCCAGAGTGGTTTATTTTAAAGTCATGTATTCATTTACCAAACATTTGTCTAGTCAGAGTAGATCCTATCTTTGGAAAGACTCAATAAGGCAACTAGCAATACATTTTTGCTATTCTTTTTCTTCTGGGGAGAGAGAGAGAGAGAGAGAGAGAGAGAGAGAGAGAGAGAGAGGTGATGGAAACAAATACCTTCCTAGGTCGGACTAACAGAAACTTTCCTCAACTCTGATCTCTAGAAATGACCTGAAATCCACATATATGAGTCATTCTCTTCCCCTAGCTAGACTTAATAGGGATCATAGTCTCAATTCAAGTGTGGTGGCTTCATCTTCATCTTCTCCCCCTCCCTGTTCTCTGACTCCCTCAAAGACCTGTCTAGGTGGCTCAGTGAGTATTGGCAGTTTCACCCCCCTATTAGGACATGAATAACACAGTGTAGAGGAGCAGCTGAAGAAAGGTCAGTGAAGAGACTATATGGAAAGAGGAGGCAGGATTCAGGAATCAACAAGGCATGGGGACTGCTCAGGGTTCAGTAATGATAGGAAACTGTTTCTAACTCCTACCTTCTGCAGGAGAAAGAGGATGGGAGTGGTTACCAAGGAGACAGCTGGAAGAGAGGCTGGACATGAAATTTCCCATTAGTAGGAGAAGGTAGCCAGAGCCAAACTCCAGCTCATGTGGAGGAAGCCCTAAGCTCTCTCCCCTGGCTCTCTCAGCAAGCTCCCCATGTGGTCAGACCTGATGAAGTACTGGTGATAGGATCTGCTTCCTAGGGATTTTAACTACCTCTGACAGTGGAAAGAGAATGGATTCAGAGACTCCATCAGACCATCACTAGCACAAATGATTAGTTTCAGTGAGGTGAAGTAAATATATCAGAATAGAAGGAGGGGAGGACATGTACACTTTGTAAGAACATTCTGGAAGAATGTAGCCTCTACTTTCCCTAAAAGATTAAGTAACACTGATCACAAGTGAACCTGTACCAGGAGGATGCCAAATAAGCTAGCTGATTGGGACGATCACTCATTCAATTACTTATTCAGCACTCATCAAGGGTTTGTTTACACTTGTAGGCATTGAGCATACACAAGTGGATTCAGTATCTCTGTGTACTTGAAAATTTTATAAGAGGTTGGAAGTAATGGATTATACAGAGTTGGTGTCCTCAGGCATCTTATAGTGTGAACCAGTAAGGGTTCCTGGAAGAACTGATAGCTAAACTGAACCTGGACCAGAGGTAGAAGAAAGAAGAGAAGAGGCTGTTCTGGGAGAAGGCCTGAGTGGGTGTGGGAGGGTGCTGGCAGAGGCGCTGGAAGAGGCAGAGATCTGCTTCCCAATTCAGTGCATCATCAGATCTGCGTGCTGGAAAGATTCCTAGGCAAAGGATGGGTTGGCAGAGTACAACCCGCCCACCCAACCCCCACCAATTAAGCAACGAAGTAAGATATATATGTGCAAGTCAAGGAAAACAAGAACCACACCTGAATCTACAGTTTGAACAGCAGCCAGGGGACTAACAACTGGGAGGGGTCAGATGCAGGAAGACCTGACACGACTGGGGACTCAATAGCTGTGTGCTGTGAGACAGGAGATACTTTCCAGCCCTACTGCCTTTCAGCACTGCTGCCACCTTTAAGCTAACAACCCCACATTTTCTGTTTTCCTTTGACAACAGAGTTCCTTCCTGCCCAACCAAGTATAGTTTACATGGAACTGTTACCAATCATGTCCTCTTTGGTCAGAAAGTGATCACATGACCTAAGTCACTTCATTCCTTGGCTCCTTTCTGGGAATTTGGAAATCTTTTTATTTTTATTTTTTTATGTGTATGTGTGTCATGCTGGCATACGTGTAAGGGCACCAGGGTTATGCAGTGCCATTGGAGGACAGAAGAGGACATCGGATTCCCTGGAACTGGAGTTACAGGTGGTTGTTAGCCCCTCTGTGGGTGCTGGGATTCGAACCCAGGTCCTCTGCAAGAGCTGCTAGCCATCTCTCTAGCTCCGAATTTGGAAATCTTATGACAGACACATAGATTCTTCCTTGGGTCTAGACTTTTTTTGAAGTCTTCATCAGTTCTTTCCTTCGATTCTATATGCTACCCAAAGTCTTATTAAAGCATCATGCTTTAAAGGTCCTGATAAACTACAGTTATTTTCTGTTATTTGCAACCAGAAAACCTCATCCGACTATGGTAGCCTGGTAAAGGGACAAAACAGATGAAGGAGAAGTTCTTGGGGAATGGGTAGGTCATTTGTTTTGTAGACCATGGAAAAGTAAAGGGAAAATTTGAAAGCTGGCTAAAGAGGCTTTTGTAAAAAGCACCAGGGAGTATAGTTATCTTTGGCATGTGGGCACAGGAAATTCTACCCAACAGATTGACCTCCTAATGACTTACCCAGATTTCTCCAAGCGGTGCTGATTCTTCCATGAGGAGGCTGACACACTGTGAAGATGCCCTGATATTAGGCAGAGGAAGGGGCAGAGTTCTGTTCCCGCATTGGAGCCCTAGGTCTTGGTTCTTGCTCTATCATTGATTCATTCATTGTACAAACGCCTTCTTCTCTAAGATTCAGTTTCCTTCTTAGTAAAATATAAGAGATGAATTACATTTGAGATTCTCAAGTATTCAATATTCCAAGAGAATTTTATGTTAGCACCAAAAGAGGTTATGGGAAGCTGGATTTAGCAAACCCAAAACAGGTGCCCTTACTACAGGGCTTCTCAGGGTCTTCAGTACACTCATCAGTGATACAAACCTCCAGAAAGGGGTAAGTGAACGGCACTTTTATCTGTGCCCAAGGAAACCTTTTCCCCATGAACCAGCAGTTTCCAGAAGACAGTTGTAGAACTGCTGGATTAGGTGATTTCTAAGGCTGTCACTGCCCCAGTCATTCAGGGCTCTGTGCAACCTGCTGTTTTCCATCTGTTCTACTTTACCCCTTCGTTAAAGATGACTGACTGGCTCTGAAAGGACCCCAGTGACCTGTGATCTGCTTTAAGGAGCTTCTCCCAGGAAATAGCACATTTGAATGCCTATGAAGTCACTTAAAGATCTAGTGGGTTCAAAAACCCTCCAGCAGCTTGAACAGAAAACACAGGCTTCCCGCTGTGCTCAAAGCACCCACCCAGGCCCAGCCTGCAAGACTGCAAAACATGCTTTTAGCATGCATGCATTTCTGAAAACAAAGGCAACTCTACTTTTTGCTGCTCCAGACAGTCTGAGATGCTTTTGTGCCCTTGGGTCCTTGCCCGGTCCTCTCTTCTGCCTTAGTCCTGGTACTAAATTGGTTCAAGGTTTGGAGAAAAGCTTCGGGGTAAAGGATGTTTGGAGTTCTTAAATGCTGAAGTCACCCTGCAGACCAGAGCCTAGACCCTCTCTGGCCACCAGAGGGCGATGACAGCAACATCTGGGCAGAAAGCTACTCCCAAGAATAACAGCAGTAAACGGTACCTCATGGTTTATGAATGATACAGGGGCTGCTGCTGGTGGTGGTGGTGGGGCAATTGGGTGCCTGGAGCTAAGACTCTGAAAATCTTCAAGGCATAATAAAATAAAATCTGCACCTCTGCTATTTATTTACAGGATGTAATCAAGTAGTTGAAAGTTTCCTTTAAGGGAAATGAAGAAGAATCAGAAAAACATTCATAAGAAAGAAAAGCAAGGAATTTTCAGGAACACATTTGGTGTGTATGTGTGTATACATGTGCTCATGTGTATGTGACTATGCATTTGGAGGTGTATGAAAGTGCATGTGACTGTCTAGGGGTGTGTGTGTGTGTATGTGTATGTAAGCAAGACAGACCTTTCCAGAGTGAGCAAACCTCAAGGAAGTCTGGGCAATACTTCCTCCTGTTCCTACCCTTTCCTTCAAACAAACAAACAAAATCATTCCTGCGAGTATTTATGGAGCCTCTAATATGGCCCCTCCCCACAGGCATCTGGAAAAGCTCAGACCAGCCAATTTAGAACAGGCACTGGCAGAATGAAGGCAAGGCGCTGTGGGGAGAAGACAGTTCCTCACAGGCTAAGGAACCGTTTTGCCAAATCAATTTCTCTCCTTTGATGCCCCAAGATACTCAAGTTGGTGGGTCCAGGACTGTCGCACCCCCATTTGAGGGAATAAAGGCTCACAGGTTAAATGATTTCTCCAGAATCACCAGACAGGAGGTAGATGCTCAAGACACTGACATGGGGTATCAGTGCAGGGGTCCAAGTTCCCTGTTATTAATACTTTAAGCTACACGCTAGGTGTCGTGTCTGGGCAAAGCTGGACGTGCCAGTGCGACATAAACTGTCTCTCTCTCCCTGAGCGGGGGGGGGGGGAGAGAAAGAGAGAGAGAGAGAGAGAGAGAGAGAGAGAGAGAGAGAGAGAGGGATTGACATTTGATTACTTCATAAAATGAGAAAATTCCATCTTCCTCTATACTTCCTAAGTGTAGTGATAAGCAATACAGTG